TCAAGAAGTGGGGTTGTTTTTCTTCCTCCTCCTGAATCCATTTTCATCTTGTGCACCATGGCTTCCTGCTGCTTGCTTAAAAGCAGGGATTATCTGGTTTTTTTTTTAATTATTACCACTGGCCTGTCTATCACTCTTTTCACTTCCCAGATGAAGAGAAAATTAAAGCTTTAAATAAGTAACCATACTTTTCCAAATCATCCATGAAGTAGAAATGTAGGGAACGGTCCCCAAATCCCCAACTGTTAACATAGAAATTCATTTAGAGTACATAGTCTACGACCTGTGTTTTATTATGATTTGGAATGAATGTTTCCCATATTTTCAGTTGGTTATATCTGATTTCTTTCCCTCACAACTAAACTGGTGTTAGAAAAGCAGGAATTTCTTGTGTACTATTTCTAGTTTAATGCCCCACTGTTTCACAGAACAAATCCTTACGCCTTCAGCTTGTAGTAATTTATTGGATTCTTAGTGACCAAAGGTAATTTTCAGCTAGATCAAAGCTCCATTCAGACTAATGTGTCACTAGCTAAACCAAGTGGAAAGCATATTATGAATGTCGGTTCCTTAATTTTCCTGCTTGCTACAATGTGAAGGCTTCGGTGTCCCTTCCTTCTTATTTATATAGTGCCATTTTCTAAGAAACTCAGGTGATCTCTTGGGATTCCATTTTGTATTTTACTGGCACCGATATATCCCGCACAAAGGAACTGAGAAAGCCTCTGCAATGCTCTGAGGGGAAAAGGAGAAGAAACTAATAATTAAAGGATATACCTAAATTGCCTTAACTCTCTGGAGAGACAACTGTAAGAACCCTGTATTTTTAAAAAAGAAGAATTAAATCTACATTTTTGATGCATGGGGCATGTTACTGCAGCTCCGGAAGTTGCCTGAAGATCAAAAGCAAGAAAAGTATATTGGAAAGGAGATCATCTCCCATAAGCAACAATTCCCTCAGACCCATGGGTTCCATAGATTTCTAGATTCCTTCTTCTTTGACCAGTTCATTCATTCTCCCTGCTTCTTTATCTGCAGAGGGATGAAGGCCCTTCTCTCTTTTGAATACCAAGCATCTTAAAATCTCAATTATCACCCTATGGAAATAAGATGAGACTACTTTTTCTTCTCTGCAAGGATCAAAACTGTTATTATTCAGGAAAACCCCAGTGTTCCTTAGAAGCTTCTCCAGGGCTCATGAAATTAAGACCAAATCTCTCTCTCTCAAAAAAATTGCCTATTGTAATTTTTTGTAAAATGCTGGTGTGTTCACCTATCAAACTATGATTTGCTTTTAACTAACCAGATTAGTCCTACAGATAAGCAGGATATTAGAACTTTATCTTGTTTTGTTTTCAAACTTTTCTACCCTTAGTAATCAGAAATTAGAGAAAAAGCTTGAGAATCAATGCCTGTTGTGTTGCTTTTGTCTTGAGCCACTGTGGCTTGAGCAAAACACAAAAATAAACAAGGACTAAGCCAGAATTTGAACATAAACCAGGTTACTAGGCAGAATTTGGACTTAAACCAGATTACTAGCCAGAATTTTGACATAAATCAGCCATTAGGATGGCTGGTGAGATTGAATCTCACCAGGCTCAAGGTTGACTCAACCTTCCATCCTTCCGACCTCAGTAAAATGAGAACTCAGATTGTTGGGGGCAATATGCTGACTCTGTAAACTGCTTAGAGAGGGCTGTATAAGCACTGTGAAGCTGTAGATAAGTCTAAGTGGTATTGCTATTGCTATGGACTAATATTTTTATCTCACCTTAATGACCAAGATAAAGACAATATCAGATACTACTTAATGAATGCCCTTAGCTTTGATTACTACCATCTAGATATGCCTTTAACAAGAAAGAAGAGCAAAAATTAATGCAAGAACCTCCTTCAGAAGCTTCTCCCCACCCCAAAAGGAGATGTGTATCCATTGAACATGGCACTCAAAATGAAAACTTTCCAAAAGGAGAGCAAAGGATTTTTCATACCAGCTTTTTCTGACCTGGATCCTCCCTAAAGTAGGATTTCAATTTACTTAGTCATTGCTAAGGACTTGAAAAATTGGGAATAACATTTGAACGGCACCTACATCAGAAGGTCTGCTCTGTTTTCACTGTAGTGGGTCAGTTTTCCCATAAAAAGTAAGCCATAGGAGGAGAAAGTTAACACAAACAGAAAAATCTGAATAGAAAACCACTGCTGAATTAACTCTCATGTAAATTCTGAACAACTGCTGGAAAACTGGGAATCCTGCCTGTGTTCTGCATAACAGCTGGAGGCCATGCAGCAGCCTCTGTGAGAAGGGTGGGACTATTGACCTCTCTTCCATTCTGAGTACTTGGGCCTCTTATTGCAAAGATCTTTCCATGAATCTGTAGCAGAGGAGGGGAAAAGTAAAGAAAAAACATGGCCCGTGGCCCTGGAAACTTCTTTCCACTGGGAATAAATAAAATCTGCAGCCATTGCTTTCTCCCACATTCACTAATTTTAAAAAAGTTCTTCAAGTTCTTTCCACTCTATTTATGGAGGAATTTGCTAGTATAACTTATTTTAAAATGAGGCTGTTTTCTTTCCAAGTCTTTATAATGATTCTTTGATAAGGAACATTGCAGAGCGGCTGCTCAATCAAGTAGGGAAGCCCATCCCACAGCAAATATCTTACGTGTAACAAATGTAACACGTGGATTAAACTGGCTTGCAAAGTTTACAGGATACTCATATAAGCCAAACAAATGGAAAGCAAAAAAAGCTTTTCTGTAGCACTGCCTTGGATTTAGATCAAGTCACAAATGTATTTTCTTCACTTATTTCAGAATAGCAGTTTCTGACACACAAAACAGCTGAGACAAGCTACTTCCACTCCCCATCCAACCTTTTCAGCTGCTGATTTTTCCCTTACCATATAACTATTTGAAGCATTGTTTTCCTGATCTTGCCTGTGTTACACAACATGATAGCCAAACATCATCTGATGAATTAAGCTACAGCCTGTGAAAGCTTGCTTTCTTCTACTGGTGTCTGTCTGCCTGTCTGCCCATCCATCTATCCATCACCTATCCACATTTTGGAATTGCTCATCTGCCTCACAGAGGGACTCTGGACAGGTAGTCCATTAAAATATTCACACATATAGTAAAGTTAAAATTTAAAAAGAGGTAAGGGTGATTAAAACAATGTTAAAAAAATTAATTAAAAGGCAAAGGGAGGGCTTTCGGGGTGTTAATCCGCCCCAGACCTGCGTGCTCTTTCTGTGTTCCCCAAGCTAGGCTGCAGAGCCATACTTTCACATCTTTTACCTTATGTCTTTTCAATCAAATTTGTTAATATGACAAAGTGCTACCAGACTCTTCCTGTTTTTAAATGGATCACAGTAAGCTTATAGATAACACTGGGAAAGTCGTGCTTATCAGTGCAGACAATAGTGGACAAAAATCCATCTTATTTCCAGCAGCCCTCTAAAAGGTGTTGGGCAATAAAATCTCAACCTTTGCAGTGAGTGTCTGTCTAAAGGGCAGATTGTGAAAGCCTGATTTAAAAGGGAAAAGGAGAAAGGAAAGAGGAAAAGCAAGCTAATTCAGTCGCCTCCTTTTAAATGGATTTTCTAATGAACTGGAAACAATTTAGAACAAACAGGAGTGGGGCTGTCAACAAAGCATTATGCTACAGGTCACATTCCCATTATCTCCCACGTTGAAAGAAAATTCTGCTTGTTGCCAGATGTTTTCTTGATAAAACCCAAAACATTCACAGGGCTTATCAGAGAGACTTTTCAAGGAACCCTCCTGGATAGCGCAGGGTAAAGGAGGCTACATCTTTTAGAAATCCAACTTTCACTTTCAGGGGCCACCTGACTGACCACCTCCTGAGCTTGGAGCTAAGTAGGATCAAATCTAGTTAGTGCTTGGATGGATGGCTGTCAGGAAATCCCAGAGATGTAGATTAGTTTGGGGAGTTGGGGCAGGGGGAGGGGAAGGACAGCATAAAGAAGACAATGCACACCAGTTATATACTGTTGCAAAAATAAAGGCTACCCAGATGTTTCCATGAAAGGAACAAGAGAGGAGCTTAACTGAAGAAAAGTTTACCTTCCCCCTCCTGCACAGTTCCAGAATTAAGAAATGCCCTCCCTTGGGAAATGCATTTAGCCTCCACTTTCTTTTAGAAAATGATTTTAATAAGCATTTTATTTAAAAAAAACATATTTTAAAAAATATAATGTGTTTTTAGGGTCCTACTTATTTTTGTTTCTTGTTATTTTGAGCTGAATTTTATAATATACCATATAAATTTAACAATTTGATTTTTTTTTAAAAAAAAGAACCTGATGCCTATCTTTAGCTACCCAAATCCTGTTTTTTGGAAGGAAAAATAGGTCATATCTCTAATAAATGAATAATGCGGGAATTGGGGGTCTTGTTTTTGTGTTTCGGTGGCCGTATGTTTCGGTCCTCAACCAAAGATGGCCTTAGGCCAGCCGGCAGGTCTCCCTCTATTTTAGTGCGGCTCCAGATGCCCGATCTTAAGTTTAAGAGAGCCATCGGCTCCCCTCCCCGCAAGGCTGAAAAGTCCTCAGTCGGTCGTCCCCAGAACTAGGTCTCTACGTGTCCTTCACGGGCTAATACATGTTAGCCGTTCAGACAGAGGCAAGGTATTTGTCACGCGTTCCGAGAGCTTTTTTTTTTCCCCAGCAAAAACAAAGGCAAGAAAGTTTATTTCGCCTTGGGGACGCATCGAAATCTCGACCGCGGCTTCGGCAGACTGGCAAAGAAACCATTCGAGAATAGCTCTGCTAAATCGGGCCTCCGCAGATAGGGACGAGGGAACCATGCGCTCCCGGAATCGCGCAAAGCAACTGCGAGCAACCAGCCTGCAACTGCCTAAACGCGGAGCGGGGGCGGGGGGGGAACGGACAGGAGCCGCCAATTCACAGGACCTTTCCTGGACCCCCCCCTCCTTCTTCCCCCCCCCCCCCAAAAAAAGCCCTCTTCTTCACACACCTGCTGCTAGCCGCGGTCCGGGCGGCCTTGCGTGCCTCCTCTGAACTTTGCGCGAAGCCGACACCGCAACAGGAGCTTGCAGCCTGGTCTGAGATCTCTTCTCCCGATCTTTGGGATCGAGGCGCAACCGTATTTGCTAGCGCCGGGATCTCCGGAAGGAGGACAAAGAAAGACGAAGACAGACGACGTTACCCTCGCTTGCTATCGGCTCAAAGGACGCCGAGTCCTTTGCCAATCGGCCGGGGCAAAAGACCTCCGTCTGTCCCGCCCCTTATGTATACCACGTTCCCTCCCACATCTACCTTGACTCCGTGCCTTTCCTTCCCACGAAACGGGCTTTCTCCTCGGAGCGCCGGATGCCCTTTCCCAAAGGCGAGGAAGAGTGCTGGGCAATGGTGTATTAACCATTAAGCAGATTAAGCCCGTGCTTAGGGCACCAGGCCCAAGGGGGCCACCACAAAGCTGAGAAAGAAAGAAAAAAACCCAATAAAGATTTGTAAAAAAAAAATCTTGTATGTGGGGGGGGGGGCACCAAGATTTGACAGTACTTAGGGCACCAGTGAGCCTTAATCCGCCACTGGTGCTTGCCACCCCTCAACCTCCAGAAGGCCAACGCGGCCCTGGAAAGAAGGGGGTTACGTAGTCCCAGAAGCGGACAGGTTTGCCCTTAGATAACAGATAATCAGAGTTGGAAGGGACCTTGTAGAAACCCTACACCATTTCTGACAAATGGCAGTCCAATCTCTTCTTGAAAGTCTCAAGTGATGGCGCTCCCACAACTTCTGAGGGCAACTTCTGTTCCATTGGTCGATTCACTGTCAGAAAGTTTCTCCTTATTTCCAGGTTAAATCTCTCCTTGTTCAGTTTCCATCCATTATTCCTTGCCTGGCCTACAGGAGCTTTAGAAAATAGTTTGGTCCCTTCCTCTCTGTGGCAGCCCCTCAAATATTGGAAGACCGCTATCATGTCTCCCCTGGTCCTTCTCTTTACTAGACTTAGACTAGCCAAGCCCAGTTCCTGTAACCATTAATTAATTGGGTTTAGCCTTCCTTGGGGTCCTGGCGCGGCTCCTCCTAAACCCGGGAGCCCACCCCCATGTAGCTTTCCACCCCACAACTCCCTCCACCGGAGGGCTTTTGAAAGCTTCAAGGGCACACGCTCCGGATTATCAGTTTCTTCTCACCACTTCGGAATGCATGTGTACTTTCCCCTCCAGGGCGTGATGGTAAAAATGGATACAATTCCCTGCATGTTTATTAGTTTGTAAACCCCATGGAGTTCTGTGAGATTGAGATTAAAGTCTGGAGAAAGGGAGGAAAGCAAGAGGCAGAAGTGGCCCCCTAATCAGGAGGGGCTAGGTTGAAAAAGGACTTAGCAAGAGGCCTAGCAGCCTGCTGGAATGCCAATTATGCAGAGGCTGCTTGTACCTGCAGCTGCGTCCCTCCTCAAGGCCCCTGAAGAGAGAGGCTCCCAGGGATTCCCAAAGACACAGGCAACAGTTTTGGAAGTGTGCTAGAGAAGCAAGTCAATGTGAGCACCTTTCCTGATTGGGCAAGTGCAGGCCAGCCTGCTTTATTCTTCCATCCCCGCCAGGCACATCTGGGCTTGCGCATGTGCACGCATTTGGTAGGCAGAAAATCTGCCCTGAAGCCACATTTTTTTCCCCACTGCAAAATTAGGAGAGATCCTTTGGGAATGACAGCTAATTCCCTCTTGCACTTCCTTCTCTCTAACGGCTATAAAGGGTGGGGTGGCTTCCCAGCAAAACCGTGCCAGTCTTTTCTACAGTTATTGCTTTAAGAAAGTCTTTTTCTGGAGCAGGGTATCTATTTTAAGAAAGCCCCAATGAAGCTTTGGGTACAACTGTGTTTTTGATTAAACGTGGGAACCTGAAAGGAGTTGAAAACTGTATTAGCCTTGCAGTATCAGAGGGTCTTTAATAGTCCACTGATGGATTCCCACCAATACTGTAATAATAATTTCACACTGGCTTCTCAATAGTTGCTATCCAGTGTCCTACTGCTTCTGGAGTTCATAGTTCATGGCTTGTGATGTTGTTCTCCATGGATGTGTTCAATCCCACTTTTAAAATTGCCTTGCATTACTGGCCAGAACATCTTCAAAACTGAATGTGTACCTGAACTATGCATTGTTTTATCTATCTGGAAACTTCCTCAACTCAGTTTTGTAACAAACAAATTCCATATGTAGCAAACCATACAACTGTCTTTATAGTTGCCAAAAGTAAAAGTTCACTTAAAGTTAACAACACATACACATACACACTTAACTGAGTAAGAGAGGCCTGACTCATGTTTTCACTTCTGCATAATGTTATTCTCCCCTATCACGTCCCCACATATTGACCACATCTTGTGCTCATAACTTTTCCACCTGAGAGATAGTTCTACCGTGCCAATCACTTTGTTCAACCATAATTTGCATTTAATCTAACGAAGCTTTATTTTTTGAGTAACAGCATTTGAAGTACATGAAAACACTGAGATGTTGACATCTTTCTATTCCTAAGTACCACAATATGTGCAATTTACTTTTTCCAGATAGCCGTCTTATATTTGACCAGTGATTTCATTAAGAAATCTACTACAGTGTCCATTAGTTTCTTAATCACTCTCAGCTAAAACCACAGGAAGGGAGAGGGAAGGAAAGGGAGAGAGTTATGCCTTTTTACCAACTTGATGTTACATTAATTTATGTTGTCAATATAGCAATAGCACTTAGACTTATATACCATTTTACAGTGCTTTCTTTACAGTCCTCTCTAAGAGGTTTACAGAGTCACATTGTAATACCAATTCCCTCAATCTGAAAAATCACAGCTCTTCAGTGTCCCTTTTTGTTTTAATTTGAAATGCTACCTTGTCAGCTAGTCATTTCTCTTCTCATCTGAAACTCCTGACCAAGGCTAACCTTTTATGTCCCTTAACTGTCTAATCTGTTTCTCCAAACTTTTTGCGGTTTGTCGGTTATTGATCAAGAAGGCACAATTTCTTAGTTTTATGATATTTGGTATTGCTTGACTATTATTGCTCATTTTCATTTTTTTATTCTTGTATTTATTAATATTAAGGAGATAAAATTCTACTTTAGAAAGAAACGGAGGCTTGGGATCATCTTTGGCACATAAAAAGCAATAGAAGGCCGGAGAAGCTACAAGCCCAACTGCTGTGCAGTAAACAACGGCTGTCATACCAATGGTAAAATACAACAGGCAGCAGAACTGAGGTTTGTTCATAGAAGAAAAGATGGAAAGCATCTCCCCATTTGTTCCAAACAACTGGCCCAACCCTATTGAAATATTTCAGCTACCAAAAACAGAGTATCATTACAGGCCAATTCTCCACCTACCTATTATTTAGATCTTCTATGGGGGTGGGGGGTGGGGAGTGCAGATAGAGGACTAAAAAGACAAACAACATCACACAATAGAACTTTTTCCTTCATTATCAGTTTTATTCTATATTGAAGACATTTAGCTCTATTCTGCATACAATTCTATAATATCACACTGAAATATCTTTATGTCCATATTCCAGAAAAAATATGTCTGACACCCCCACATACCCCCCAGAAATTAGTGGATTACGATGGAAAACCCTGAATAGGATTAAGTGCCTTGCATGTTATCTGTTTCTGTTTAAATGGGGCAGAGTTGCCTCCCTAAAGATCCCTGAATGTGACTATGGTGCTCCTCATTAGATCATATAGTGACTGTTTGCCACTGGAGAGCTTATACAGGAGGAAAAGCAGATTTTTTCCAACCAACAAATACGTCCCAGATATTAATATATAGAACATTTATTCCATTTGCATGAACCCACATATTTTAAATTGTAATCTGTAACTTACATAGAACTTGATTTCCTCATACCTTACAAAATTGACTATATATTTCTATTACACCATATATATTTTTACTACTTTTAATCATGTACTTTATGCCATATGCTTAATAAATAAATAAATCAGAGGTGCGTGCTTATGATCTGACTTCCGTTTTTCTTTGCTTTACAAACCTGTGAAGGCCAGTTACTTTTTCATCATTGTAACTGCGGTCATGAGGCAGTTGCTAAGTAAGGACTATTTATACTATCTTTTTTTTCTTCAGGACTTTTCATTTCCTGATGCTACAGATAAAACAGAAAAACTGTATGATCTAGACCTGGAGGTAGGAAGTGAACAGCCCAGATAAAGGAGGCCTATGTTTCCCCAACCCTGTATTTTTAATTTGGACATAATTGGACATAAGAAAAGAACCTTTCTCCTCCCTTACAAGAAGACTTAATCTTTCCCTTCATTTTTCCTGGCTTTGAGCAATGTTCCTCAGCATTTCCTTGCTTGCTCTGGACAAAGATTGGTAGCAATTTGATTAAGGTTTCCTATTCTTTGTTAACCAGTTTACCATGAGAAGGATGTAAATCAGTTCCTTCTATCTTGCCTCCCTAAAGCTAATGTCCTCTTATATCGTGTACTTTATATATTCTTCTGACAATAGCTAGCCAAAGAAAATACATGACTTTCTGTCACTTTTTAAAAATTGTATCTTCAGTTTGTCCTTATCTATTATGTTGCATTCTGCTCTGTTTGCATATCCAGAACTGTACTGTTTGAAGCATTCACTTCCGTAAAACATTTTGATTAACCCCAATTCTTTGTCAAATCAAGCCAGTAAAACTCAACAACCAACAGCACCTAACCAAACTCAACTGATCTTGGAATAAAAGCAGGCTTATATGTGGTTAATACCAGGATTGATTTATTTATTGGGGGGGGGGGGGCCATCTGGAAATAGACAGGGAAGTTTTTTAAAAATCCACAGGAGGACAATGACGGAAAACTTACTTGTCTTTAGGGAGACCTTACTTTTTATTTGTCACATTAGATAACACCAATCAGTTGTCCTCTGTTGCCTTAACATAAAATGTATTTTCATTGAGGAACTAGAAGTTTTCCGGTAGCACATGAATAGCTGTTGGTTAGAGATATTTTAGCTCTGGATTTCCTTTACAGGAGAGTTTAAATGATAATGATCTACAAGATTCTTCCTTTCAAGTCTTCAGCCTATGATATGGGATCATCTATGGAAACCTTCCTCAACATAGTGATCCACAGAGGTTTCAGACCAAGTCATGGGAATTGTAGTTCACCATGTTTGGATGGTACTAGAATAAGAAAGCTAGATCTTTTCTTGCTACAATAACCTCTTCATCCTCTCTGCAGAGAAAGAACCACACTTATATTTTATCT